AAAAAAGTTGGTGAAAGGTACACGCCAGCACGAAACTAAGAAAATTGTAAAGATGTTATGAAATACGGTCGAATGTTACCTGATTAATGACATCAAGGCAGACGGAACCGCTTGCTTCATCAATGTTTGGATGGAAAATCTTATTCATAAATCCTATCGAAGGCGATTTAAATGGATATTTTTCCGGCAATTCAACACGTACTCGCCAGACGCCACCTTCATATGCAGCTGAAGCAATATCGAATGAATATGGGTAAACTCTTACGACTGTTCGTGAATATAAAACAACAACAATAAATGTAGAGTTGTTTTTCAGCAACATCTTTATCACTCACTGCCAGATGGTCCATAAAATTTGACATTAAATTCGTTCAATCCACCGGTAATATTGACCTCGTGCTTGCTTTCAATCCTGAAGTAATACATACGTTTTTTAATGAACGTGATGATAGCTCTAAGCAAGAAAAATTAATCTGCTCAAGTAAAAGTCTTTGCCGACTCGTTATCAAATCGAAAAGCAACGTAACTAACAAGTGTCACGAAAATTATGTAAAAGTACACTACAAAGACATCTTTGGCAGTTTTTCTATCTAAACCCGATTGATGCGATCCACTGTGGAGGAGGCGAAATTGACTACGACAAAGAGGAGTGTACATCTCTTTTCCCGAGATAGCATTATTGGGTAACCATTAAAAGTGTTTATATTAGCTTTAGCTGACCCCGTCAATTAACCGCAGTTGTAGCTTCCTGACAAGATAAAATGTATTGAAATTTGTTGTTCTCAACATTCTTCTCTAACAGATAGCGCAGATTGAGATATAGTCTAAAAATTAAAATTGACATAAAGTCGCGCAGTAATTCATCGAAAGTGTGGTACTTGTGCAGCGCACGTTTGTGCAACGCAGACTCAGAGCAGCGGTCAAACCTTCAGTGGCATTGCTACTCATAGAGATGGGTGAATATGTGGTCCATTGCAGTTGAAAGAGAGTAAAAACGCAACTGAAACGCACCAAGCCTCGAGGTTTTCCCACCTGAGCTCTATCTGACTACTCGATTGCACGGACAAAGGCATTGAGCATCGCTGATCTGCAGCAATGATCCATGCTCGACCATAATTGAATAGAGCTCAGGCAGAAAAACGCTAAGGATTCGGTAGTTCAAGTTCCTTAATGTTGCGTGGGATCAACCACATATACTGCGTGTTCATCCATCGCACGCGTGATGTACAATGGGCTACACCAAAAAAAACTTGACCATATTTTATCAAAAGATCAGGTAGTCACTATCGTAACCATTATCCACAGATATGAAATT